TAGGATGTTCACCAAAGCACTCAGGAATATATAATCATTCAAACAACCAAAGGGTATACCCTGCAAGCCTGCCCCCTGGCTACCAGCTCACAACCCCTCTCCCTCCTTGAGTCTAGAGTCACCAGCCGCTCCATCTCTCCACGTCACTGTCTCTGCCTCCATCTCTGGCATCACTGCTTCACTGAATAGGGTCATAGGGTGTTCTTTTAATAATTTATTTTGTTCTCCTTGTTGTTGTTATGAATATGTACAGGACATATACCAATTCAGCAATTTTTACATGAACTATTGCCTCATATGTGTGTAAAAACTGGACAATAAACAAAGAATTCTGGAATTGATTCATTTGAATTATGGTGTTGACAAAGCATATTCAATGATCATTGGACTACCAGAAGAATGAACAAATCCATCTTGGAAGAACTACAATCAGAATGTTCCTTAGAAGCTAGGATAGCACGGATGCCACATGTACTTTGGGCATGCTATCAGGAGCAATCAGTCCCTGGAGAAGGAAATCATGTTTGGTAAAGTAGAGGATCCACAAAAAAGAGAAAGACTCTTAATGGACTAGATTAACACAGTGGGTACAACAAGGGGCTCCAACAGAAATAATTGTGAAGATGGTGCAGATCAGGCAGTGTTTTATTGTTTTACATAGGGTTGCTATCAATCCAAATCAACTGAATGGCACGTAACAACAACAGCAACGTTGATGACTTGAGCAGTAGGGTTTTTCATTGACTGATTTTCAGAAGTAGATAGGCCTTTCTTTCTAGTTCACCTAGGAAATGCCACTGAAATCTGTTGATCATCATAGGAACAAGTAAGCTTCCAGTGACAGATGGGTGCATGGGGTGCATTTGTCAGGAATCAAACCTGGGTATCCCATATGGAAAGCAAGAATTCTGCCAGTGAGCCACCATTATCCCCCATAATATACTTATTGTTAAGTGCTGTCATGTTGGTTCTGACTCACAGTGACCCTGTATAGGGTTTCTGAGGAGCAGCTGATGGGTTTGAACCACTGACCTTGTAGCTCAAACTGACCTTGCGGTCCAGCGCATTATCCTTCAGTGCCACACTTAGCACAATGCATAATAATGATCAATAAATATTAATTGCAAATTCTTACTGTTTTGTTCTGTCAGATTTTGGTGGCACAGTGTGTAAACACTGCAAACTGAAAAGTCACAATTCAAACCCACTAACTACTCCAAAGGAGAAAAATGTAACAATGTTTCTCCGAAGATTTCAACCTTGGAGAATCTGTGGGACAGTTCACTCACATCCTATAGGTCACTCTGAGTAGATATCAACTTGACAGCAATAGATTTGGCTTTGATTTTTCTGTAAATTAGTCTCAAGTAATTAATTAGATTTCCTATATCCTGGTGCGGTACTGCAGGTTAAGGTACTGGACTATACAATCAGTTTGGTTGCAAGGTTGGTGGTTCAAGTTTACTAGCCGCTCCTCAGATAGCCTATACAGGGTCACTATGAGTCAGCACTGACTCAATGGCATTTAACAACAATGACAATGTGGGCATGTAAGGATGATAAATAGCTTCTTACTGAGAATAATATGTCAAGCCAGACCTGGTGAAACCTGCCTTACCAGGACTCTACTGCTTTACATTCCTGTCATTCATCATCCTTGATGGTAAATGAAGATGGGAATTCTCACCATCTTCACCTATCCTGAGACCCAATTTATGCAACACATTTCCCAGTGCAAGAGGCCTTCCCCAGTTGCCTGAGCCAAATCATGGTTTTCCTTTCTCCTGATGATAACATACAGTCAAGAAATCAAATGATATATTGCATTAAAATCTGCTACAAAATATCTCTTTAAAGTGTTAAAAGCAAAGAACTAAGGTGTGCCTGACCCAAATCATGGTGTTTTAAATCCCCGTGCAAAATCTAGGCAATGAATAAGGAAGACTGAAAGTGAATTGATGCTTTTGAATTATTGTGGTGTTGAAGATTATTGAATGGACTGTCAGAAGAATGAATAAATTTGTCTTGGAAGAGGTGCAGCCAGAATACTCCTTAGACACAAGGATGGCAAGATTACATCTTACAGACTTTGCATCTGTTATCAGGAGGGACCAGTTTCTGGAAAAAAACATCATGCTCAGTAGAGGGTCAGTGAAAAAGAAGAAAACCCTCAAGGAAGTGGATTGACACAGTGGCTGCAATCATGGGCTCAAACACAGCAACAATTGTGAAGATGGCTCAGGACTGGATAGTGTTTTGTTTTGTTGTATGTAAGGTGGATGTATGTCAGAAATGATTCATTGTATCTAAGAAACAAAACAAGCACCTTTCTTCTAACATTTAACCATTGAGTCCCTTCCTTTGTCATTAAAGAAGATAAAACAAACATCAAATTTACACTCATCAGAAGAACGGAAGTTAGTATGATTTCTTCAATCCTGAAGAAATAAATCCAGTGACCTCAAGCAAGTTCTTAATGTCTCAGAGGCTTAGTTTGCTCTTTTTGCCACGGGAATCATAATGACAAATATTTCTGATAAGGTTATCATGAGGGTTAAATGAAAGAACAATGATTGGCCTCTGGCAAGGATTCCAAGAATGCTAAGCATTGTTATTACCCCTGCCTATGGGTGGCACCTAACAACAACAACAACAAAAAATGGGTGGTGCAGGTGGTAAGAATGAAGCCCTGATGAGCTCATAGGTTATATTCCTGGATGACCCAGTTAATTTTGCTCTGAACTATTGGCCACATCCCTTCTTGTTCTGTCTTCAGCGTGGGATTCTGGTGGATACAGTAAAGTCATTGGGATGGAGCTTTTGGCATGAGATATGAAGCCTGGCTCTGGTTTAGGTTTTAAGAGCAAATGAGGGCATGGGGCACTCTCCTGTCTGATTAAAATGTTGCATAATTAAACTTTAAAATTTAAATTTAATCCTTAATAATATATGAGCTACTAAATGCCTCGGAAACCGTATGCAGCATTGCTGAGTCAAAACCAACTCCACAGTACACCACCACCACCACCAATGGCATTTTTGGTTCAGTGTGGGATGGGTTTTTCGGTTGTTGTTACTTATCACATAAAGATGCTTACAACCAACTAATAATAGCACAATTAACTTCTTGGAATTTATTGTATTCTCACATATGTTCAAAAACACATGGAGACTAGGAGGCAGCGGATGGCGTGGGGTGGCTTAGATGCGCCACGGCTTCGCTAGCTGCGGCACCACTAACTGGGTTTGAGCCGCTCTAACCCCTCCCCCAGGAGACTGCCGCAGTCGGCCCGTGTGTGCTCCCCGGGAACCATGTGTGACCGAAAGGCCGTGATCAAAAATGCCGACATGTCTGAGGAGCTGCAACAGGAGTCGGTGGAGTGCGCTACGCAGGTGTTGGAGAAATACAACATCGAGAAGGACATTGCGGCCCACATCAAGAAGGAGTTTGACAAGAAGTACAACCCCACCTGGCACTGCATCGTGTGGAGAAACTTCGGCAGTTATGTGACACATGAAACTAAGCACTTCATCTACTTCTACCTGGGCCAAGTGGCCATTCTTCTGTTCAAATCTGGTTAAAGCACGGACTGTGCCTACACACCCAGTGATCCATCCAAAACCAAGGACTGCAGCCTCAATTCCAAATACCAGAGACCGAAATCTTAAGGGAACACCTCCATCTTTGACCCTTCATTGCGTTGTTTTGTACAGGGGCCTTCTCTGTACCAGTTAGTTGTGGTTATAAAACAATTAGCAAAACGACTTACATTTGTATTTATTTACTATTCCATACTTTTTCCCTGCCTCGTTTTTTCTTTCCTTAAAATTCATTCCTTTCAAAACAAATAAATCTGTTGGAGATGTGTGTGTTAACTACAATTTGTTTTAATAGTCTAGGGTTGGAGATGGCTTACCACTTAAATCAGGTGATTAGGTTCTGGGGGTGAGTTTTTGTGGAAGAGTTTATCCACTTAATCCTCCCCATCTGCATGTAATGAACAGGTTGAGACGCTTAGCAGGAAAAGAAACTTAGATTAAAATTTACTCATCATCTGTTAAAAAACAAAACAACAACAACAACAAAAAAAAAACATGGAGATTGACATTTATTGGTGCAGTATTTGTAACAGCAAAATGCTGTAAACATTTTGTGTCCATCCTCCCACAACCGTCGCTGTGTTGTTGTTTCAGACCCCACTCACTGCAGAGTA